AAACGTACAAAAAGTGAGAATTTCACGAATAGATCACGGGTTGTTTGCAGGAATTCAGGCAATACCTTGTTGAAGAACACATCATTGCGCCAGTGCATTGCTCAGTCACTGTAATCAGAACAAAATATAGGTTGGAAGGGAAGGTTGTCCCTGTTGTGATTTTTCCCTTTTATTTTCTAACTCAATATACAGTGGGAATTAGTCAACAATATACTCGTCATAGTTAGCCACTACAGTGCTCCACCCAATGGACAGGTAAGCATTCCCCTCCTCCCAGAACTGAGAAGGCTGCGAGTAGAGTAAGTCAGCGCCCTCTCGACTGATGTCATCAAAATTGCTGAAAGTTTTCTTAGCTAAGAAAGCCTTAAGGAGGCGGAGCAGGTAGCAGTCGTAGGGGACTACGTCAGGAGAATATTATGAGCGGGGACTGGTCTTCCAGCCTTGCTCCTCAAAGCTTGTCTCGGTCATTTTTCTCCAACAGTTTTCACTCGTTTCGGGAGCTGAGCGACACAAATGGTAGCGGTGACCGTGTGTTCTTAGGGCAGCTCGTTCTGCAGCATCCCTCTCGCGTCCCAGGAGCAGCACAGGAGAACCTTCTCGGAATACATGCCCGGTTTGGACTGCTAGAATGGATCTTCTCCTTGAGAGAGACACACGGTACTGTGTGGGTTGAAATCATAGAGGACCCATCTCTCATCCCCACTAAGCAGTCTCCCGGAAACTCCTTCTGACGAGGGAGAAGGGGAGACTGACCAAGGGGTACCCGGGTGCACAGCGTGCCATCGGTCAAGGTATGAGTGATCCATCGAGCCAGTACTTTTCGGTAGTCAAGGGCTTACAGGCGGTTGACGACTGTCAGTTAGGTACATCCGAGTCTTGTCGCAAGACTGCGGGTGGTAGCCTCTGGATCCCCCTTGTCTTCGAGAACGGTGGAGTCTTCCACTTCGTGGGGCCGTCCCAACCGAGGTTTGCTTCAAGGGTCGTGTCTCCTTTCGCGAAGCGAGCGAACCAAAGGTGGACAGTCATGATGGTAGTGGTGTCCTCCGCCAATGCACTGCTGATGTTGCGGACAGCTGCCGCTGCTCCAGTGCCGCGGGGCCACTGATAGAACATGATGACCCGAAGATGCTCCTGTGAAACTGACATCGTAATTAAACCCAGGGAAGAGCAGGCGCCCTCACGCCTCTTGCAGGAAAGCTCCCAGAGTGTCCTACAAGCATAGCATGTTACGTCATGTACGAGCATCGAGAATCAAAAACTGTAAGCTTTTCAAAAAACACTGACAGGACTTTCTTCCAACCTAATATAATAGCGAACTACCAAGGGGCAAGCTCGAAGAAATGGTCCTTTCAGAGTTTGTGCTTCCATAATAGTGTCTGTGATCGCAACAGATCACTTGGGGGAAGGTTAAACTTTCTCCCTTTTTGGAAGAACACTTGAGAAATACCTCGGAGGAGAGCTGAGTCCCAATCTGTGAGAGAAATGCCCATCAAGCAAGTATTGAGAGAGAAAGATCAAAGTGTAACAGTGAGCCATGGATGGGAAGGAGGCAGGCGCTGCAAATTAGTGTTGCCAGACAGTCCGTGAAAATGGTTCCACTTAGGCCACTCGCCTTGCTGACTAGGGTCGGCCGGCGACCCTGAAAAACATGCCAGTAACGTATTGCGTAACATCAGAGTCATTCTACTCTATTTGTTTCGCTTATTATTTCCAATGAGGTGGTCGTTGTTGTGTGTGGAATAAAGTTCGCGAGCTCTGTTCACCGCTTGTGCGTTTAACAATTGGCCCGGTTAGATTTGCCTTGGAGACTCTCGATGACCAGTAGGTTCGCGGATTCCACTGTCACTGTTGTGATGTGTCACTCGGAGGCGCGGCTCATCATCAGGCCATCAATCCTACCCAATTTTCTTCGTCTCCGCAAATACTCCAAAACCTCGTCTATCGGGATTGAAGGAAGATAGACTCCCTATTAATTGTCAGAAATACTCGAAGTAAAGACCACATCGCCAACTAAGGTAGTATAGTAAGCGTAAATTTGGAAAGGTC